AGCACCGACTGCGGGGAAAATGGGATTCCATTTATTGGATGTTGATTATTCCTTCACTGACTCAAGGAGAAAGGAAATTTTTGTTATTTCTTATTTATGTCTGAACGTTCTAAATGGTTAAAAATTTAACATTTTAAATTAAAAATTTTAGATTTAAATTTAAAAAAAAAATTTTTAAAAAAAAGAGAGTAAAGAATGGAAGAGTTATCAACACATAACTCATTACCTAATTATATATAAAAAAAAAAAAAACTCAATGAAATGACTCAACAATTAAAAACTTAAAATTTTAAGTTGAAAATCTTAAATTTAGACTTTGAGTCGAGTTGAGAGAGATTTAAAAATAAAAAATGATTATTTTTTTTTTATAGTTCATCATCAGATATATTAAAAAAATATTTAAAAAAAATCCTATTTCTGTGGTGGTCCCCAACACATGGCTGACTCCTGGACCAGCAGGAAACGCTCAACTTGAGGCTCAAGTCCATGAACAAATCTATCCAACAAAAGCCCAAATCCAAATAGGTAAGAAAAACGAATGAGTCTTGGCTCAGGTGACATAAATTCCTGAAGTGGCCCCAGAGTTGTTGTGGGTCGGGACTTGGGAGACAGAATCGGGCTCAAGCGTCAACAGTGGCACAAGAATCATTCTTTGTTTGTTCAGTGCTTTCACAACTAGAACGATCTCTTGGAATCTCCCATGAATATATTATTAGACCCTTCTCTTTCCTCTTAAGTTATCAACAAAGTTAAACAGCTGAGAGTACAAAGCACAAACATCACCGTCAAGAACCAGCTATAACGTCACCCCTGGTAGGCTGGTACCTCCTTTCCTTCTATGTGTTTTTATTCTTATTTTTATTTTTTGTTGCATAGGTAGAGAAGGGTACATCTCTAACTCTGGATATCTCTCTCAGTATTCTAAAGCTTTTAACTTTCTGGTGTGGAACTTGAGAAGAGCACACATGCACAATCTTGGGTCTAGGCTTTACAGACAATTGAATTGGGGCATCACTTGACTTCACCACATGAAGCTAACAAAAGTTGTTTTTAAGTAATTATACATGTAGAAACAACAGAATACAAAATTGCTGGGTGAAAATAGCTTTTGCTTTCACATTCCTCTCAAGTCTGTCCAATTAAAGGTTGCAATGGGTATTTATGAAGGAAACAAGGGACTTGTACCCTCATATTTTGAGGGGCAGTGACATGGTGATATTTTTTTTTATAACTTTCTTATATAATTTTCAAATAGATAACTTTTTTTTATAAAGATAAATTTGTGTATTTAATATTATGAGTTTCAAATAAATAAAAAAAATTAATAATTTAATAATTATTTTTTATAATTTAATACACAAAAACTATAATACAATTTTTAATAATTATTCTTTAAATATGAAAAGATTAAAGGGAAGTTAGATATATTCAACGGTTCAAATTTCCTTGAACCCCAAAGTTACATAAATGATATTGAGGGAAGAAATATTTTTTTTATAGTATATAAATGATAATTAAAATTTTTTTAATCAAATGAAAACATTTCATAAGAATTATATATATATATAAAATCAACTATCAATCATATATTATAAAAAAAGTATTATATAAAATTACATGTAAAAATGTTAAATGACTTATATTTAATTTAAAACAAAGAGAGTAATATACTACACATAATCTATATTAAAACTTTTAATAATTATTCTTTAAATGTGAAAAAGATTAAAGGGAAGATATCTATATTCAAGGGTTCGAAATTTTCATACTTTAACCCCAAAATAAAATTTTTGATATGAATTAGGCTAAGCTCCAATTATTCTTGTTCCTTGATATTGTAAGAT